CCCCTTTGGGAGAGCCAAAAAAAAAAAAAAAAAAAAAAAAAAAAAGTAGTTTCGCTTTCGCAACGAAACACACAGCGTCTTCACTACATGGCGGCGGCAGCAACAATAAAGTTACGCCTTCTTTTTTTGAGTGAACATTTGGGCAGCGTTATGTAAATCTTCCCACACAGTGATGTAGACATGTGGGGGCATGTTTAAACGAGGCGTTTTAAGAGGGCGTGGACCAGTCTTAACTTTTATAAAGAATATCTCTTTGGCTTTGAGACTTTAGTCTTTGCAACTTTAGGGATCTTATCTATTCACAAACAGCTTGTAACACTCCAAAGAGAAAGGAAAACTTGAAATCGCATCATATGACCCCTTTAAAGCCACCAAGCCAAAAGTAGCCAAAGTCTGTATGGCATTCTGGTCCCTACTTCAATATTAACCTTTGGAAGTTTAAGGGTTGGTTCAAATCCTTAATCATAAGCATTGTCAATTATATTGATGCTTGCTTGCTTTATTCTAAGATGTATCAATCCAAGTTTCTGATGCTACACACTGAACTTAACTCCCAAAGCACTGGTTTCACCTTTTGTTAGGTGTCCTGCGGCTGCGTTTATGGTATTGGACTGGCTCTGTGGTTCCTGGGCAACCAATAACAACTGCATGAGACTCACGATCAACACGCTCTATACCGTGAAGACTGCTCATCTTCACTGAATTATTACATTTTGATAAGCATTTGTGACACATTGGCTTTTGCGACACAAAATTCTTTGAATAACCACCCATGAAGGTACTTTCGCTTCACAACAGTGGATTTATTCTTAGTAACAACCCTGGCAGTCACCATTTGTCCCCTCTATAGTCTAAACAGGAACTCCAGCCTGTTTTACAGCAGGCATAGGGACATATGCTGTTGATCCGCAATGCCAAAAAGCAAACAAACCCAAGGCGGCAGCACACAGAGGGCGTATAATGAATCAGCACATAGGGGGAATCCAGTTAGCTAGATAATTACACACCAATTCCCTAAAGTTTGATGGCGTAAGGGCAGGTTTTATGTCCTCTAACAATTTACACAGCAAGAAAAGACGGGACCAATGGGAAAATGGTCTGCACAATAAACGGATAATTAAACTGCCAGATGTAAGCGAAACTTTGACCATTATTGTTTGCAAGGGAAATGGACACACCAAACTTTCCAGCTCTTCGAAATGAATGAAACTGCATGTAAACGTCACCAAGTGCTTCTCTTTAGGGAGTTTGTGACACTCTCTGTAAAACAAATATTATGTTTAAGCTGCACACACCATCGATAATCAAGAAAAGCAAACAAATGCTTTTTGTTTGACAAAAAAAAAACAATCGCAAGCGAATAAATAGTTTGACTTCATTAGTCAAAGTCCTGAAAAATGCTTGCACACAAATACTGGAAAAGTACAGAAGAAACATATGCAAAACAGGAATCGGAAACTGAGAAACGAGTGGCCTCTATGTAAATCACAATGAATTTACAAGTTGACTGCTTTAACGTAATAGAAAAAAAACTGAACTACAGATATTGTTTATAATCTGCAACTGCATTAAATTGTAGGATTTCACATATGAAAATTTTGTTATTGCCAATAGCTAAATCTATAAGGGGCTTTTAATATTTTATATATATATATATATATAACCATTGTCTAAATGCAAATTATTTAATTTATCAATTAACATTATCTGCCGATTAAATATTTCTTTATATCTAACGTTACTCTAGATTATTTAAGAACTGTGTGTTGGAAAATCTATTTAATTAATAAATCAAATTAATCATACATTAATGTTTAAGATTTTCCAGACTCATGATATCTGAAAAACCACCATGACCACTTTTTAAGCCCATCTAGCATCCAGTTTACTCCAAGCACCCAGCAGGACCCTCCATATGCACAAGCTCATTTATCATAATTGGATGAGGTTTAGGGTAATCTATCAGATCCATCTCCGTAAATCAGGCAGTTCGGATTCAATTGGATTAAACTAGTTTTTTGTTGGCTGGATTAGCTGAGAGCCGTTTGCGTCTAACTGGCCACTTGGCGAATATGCAAACCTGTAACGTTACTTTGAAAAGGTCAAGGCCAAACTAAAAGACAGAACACAGCCAAATAAAATCACTTACGCAATTAATTCGTCTCTACTGCATAGAAATATAAATTAAACTATTAAAAATAGTGTTTTCTGATTCGTTGATTAGCTTCACATGCTAGCCGAGACACCAGCGCGACAACTAGGAACAGAAAAGTTTCCAGCGTCTTTAAATATGCACTTGAGTGCTTCATTTTCCACTCATAGCTTATTGAAATATTAAATCTAGTGCTAAAGTCTCTTATATGTGCAGTTAAGAGAACTTGAATGGGCCTACTGACTAGCGGAGCGGCTAACTCACCCAGCAGCAGCAGCTTGACCTCTCGCGACGCTTTCTCTCCATCATCCCGCAGGTTTTTGTCAATCATTTTACTCCTCTCCTGGGCGCTCTTGTCGTCCGAGCTCAGGGTGCACCCCATCTTTCTGGAGTTTCGAACGCTTTCAAGCGATATAAGAAGTCGAAGAAGTTTTTAAAAAATGCGCAGAAGAAAGAAATCTCATGTGAAATCACAAGTGGTATAAATGAGGGAGCCACCCCGACGACGCCTCACGCCCAACTCTTTCACACGCGCAGGCTCTTCAAACTCGAGTTTTCCACGCGCCGAAGTTTCTAATGTTAAAAAAATAATAAAACCGGAGGCTGTCAGTAATCAGTCGAGTGCCTTGATGGCCATGGTAGATTAAAAATAACGTGAAAATGGAGTCATTAACGGCCCGTCTCACGCTCCGCTTCTCCCACTGCTGTTAAAGTGGCGAACAGATCAGAGTTTCCTGCTTCTTTTCATACATAACCCCCCCTCCACGGCTCGCGCAGGAAGTGCACGCGAGGGTGCGCGCATATTGAGCCCAGTTTGTTCTGAAGTCAGATTTAAGTATTCACTGTTTTTTTTTTAAATGGGAGAAAAATAAAAATTATTTCCCCCATTATTTAATGAAATTTCAAAATACTTCATAATATTTATTTGATCTATTTATAATTATTTACTTTTATTTAAATTATGTAAATATATTTATAATTATATAATAATTAAAGAAATGTAAAATACTTAATCATAATTTTATTAATTTGTAATTTTTATTTTATTTAATATATACATATTTAATTTCATAATGTTTTATTTTTTTGCATTTTGTTTTAAATTTCTTTTCATTATTTACATATTAATAATTCTATATTATTTCATTACATTTCTGAAAAGCTTTGAAATACTTAGTTACCAATATTTTATTTATTTTTTGTAATTTTTCATTTATTGACAGTATATTATTTATATACAGTATAATAATAGTTTGTTTATTGTATATTTATTTGTTAATTATTTTATGTACTTGGTTACTTATATTGGTGGTCCTGTGGCTCAGTGGTAGAGCATTGCGTAAGCAGTGCAAAAGGCCGTGGGTTCAATTCCCAGGGAACACATATACTGGTAAAAAATGTATAGCCTGATTGTCGCGTTACTTTGAAAAGGTCAAGGCCAAACTAAAAGACAGAACACAGCCAAATAAAATCACTTACGCAATTAATTCGTCTCTACTGCATAGAAATATAAATTAAACTATTAAAAATAGTGTTTTCTGATTCGTTGATTAGCTTCACATGCTAGCCGAGACACCAGCGCGACAACTAGGAACAGAAAAGTTTCCAGCGTCTTTAAATATGCACTTGAGTGCTTCATTTTCCACTCATAGCTTATTGAAATATTAAATCTAGTGCTAAAGTCTCTTATATGTGCAGTTAAGAGAACTTGAATGGGCCTACTGACTAGCGGAGCGGCTAACTCACCCAGCAGCAGCAGCTTGACCTCTCGCGACGCTTTCTCTCCATCATCCCGCAGGTTTTTGTCAATCATTTTACTCCTCTCCTGGGCGCTCTTGTCGTCCGAGCTCAGGGTGCACCCCATCTTTCTGGAGTTTCGAACGCTTTCAAGCGATATAAGAAGTCGAAGAAGTTTTTAAAAAATGCGCAGAAGAAAGAAATCTCATGTGAAATCACAAGTGGTATAAATGAGGGAGCCACCCCGACGACGCCTCACGCCCAACTCTTTCACACGCGCAGGCTCTTCAAACTCGAGTTTTCCACGCGCCGAAGTTTCTAATGTTAAAAAAATAATAAAACCGGAGGCTGTCAGTAATCAGTCGAGTGCCTTGATGGCCATGGTAGATTAAAAATAACGTGAAAATGGAGTCATTAACGGCCCGTCTCACGCTCCGCTTCTCCCACTGCTGTTAAAGTGGCGAACAGATCAGAGTTTCCTGCTTCTTTTCATACATAACCCCCCCTCCACGGCTCGCGCAGGAAGTGCACGCGAGGGTGCGCGCATATTGAGCCCAGTTTGTTCTGAAGTCAGATTTAAGTATTCACTGTTTTTTTTTTAAATGGGAGAAAAATAAAAATTATTTCCCCCATTATTTAATGAAATTTCAAAATACTTCATAATATTTATTTGATCTATTTATAATTATTTACTTTTATTTAAATTATGTAAATATATTTATAATTATATAATAATTAAAGAAATGTAAAATACTTAATCATAATTTTATTAATTTGTAATTTTTATTTTATTTAATATATACATATTTAATTTCATAATGTTTTATTTTTTTGCATTTTGTTTTAAATTTCTTTTCATTATTTACATATTAATAATTCTATATTATTTCATTACATTTCTGAAAAGCTTTGAAATACTTAGTTACCAATATTTTATTTATTTTTTGTAATTTTTCATTTATTGACAGTATATTATTTATATACAGTATAATAATAGTTTGTTTATTGTATATTTATTTGTTAATTATTTTATGTACTTGGTACTTGTATAGCCTGATTGTCGTTTTGGATAAAAGTGTCTGCTAAATGCATAAATTATGTACTTTATTTATTGTCATGCCTATTGGATTTAACAATAAAATAATTGTTTAATTAATATCCTCGCAATAGTGTTTCAAACAATTCTACTATATACAGGTGCATCTCAATAAATTAGAATGTCGTGGAAAAGTTCATTTATTTCAGTAATTCAACTCAAATTGTGAAACTCGTGTATTAAATAAATTCAATGCACACAGACTGAAGTAGTTTAAGTCTTTGGTTCTTTTAATTGTGATGATTTTGGCTCACATTTAACAAAAACCCACCAATTCACTAATTTTTTTTTGTATAGTCTGTATAGGTGGTAGGAAATGGCTCCATTTGGTGAGATGAATGAGGCCACATCTGGTCGGTCGGGCCACAGGTCTAACCATATTCAAATAGATTCAGATTTAGGAGATTTTCTTAAAGGTGGCACATAACCATACAAAAAAAAAAAATCAAAAGATGAGCTCATAAATAAGCTTTAGAAATATTATCATAGCCAGCCTTATTATTTTACATGCTATGTAAATTTCAAATGTCATGAGCATGCAAACCAATGAGCAAAGTTTCCCCACATATCCATGACTAGTGTATTTTCCTAAAGTACCACAATGGAAGGCAGGGAGCATTCAGCCTATTTAAAATTAGACTAATCATGGCAACTGAACATTCATTACTCTGATTTATAGTGTCATTCAGAATGAGCTTTATTCGCAAACACACAGGGAATTTGTTGTGTTTTTAGGAGCTCTTTGTACAAACATATATTTATACATATATAGCATTGAGAACAGAAAGAACATTTAAATAAGACTAAGGAAAATAATAATAATGGGGTATGCATCTGGAACAGAAGATTTCTGTACAGATTTGTCCATTATTTACTGTATATACAGCTGTATAAATAAAAATATGTATATGTATTTACATAATACTTGAGAGAGAGGCAATAATTAGTTATTAATAAATGAATTACAGAAGACAGGTGGTCATTTCTGTTTAAGCTAGGGATGGCATGGGGGGAAAATATTTGTATGCCTAACATATATATATATATATATATATATATATATATATATATATATATATATATATATATATATTTATATTATATATTTTTTTTTGTATAGTCTGTATAGGTGGTAGGAAATGGCTCCATTTGGTGAGATGAATGAGGCCACATCTGGTCGGTCGGGCCACAGGTCTAACCATATTCAAATAGATTCAGATTTAGGAGATTTTCTTAAAGGTGGCACATAACCATACAAAAAAAAAAAATCAAAAGATGAGCTCATAAATAAGCTTTAGAAATATTATCATAGCCAGCCTTATTATTTTACATGCTATGTAAATTTCAAATGTCATGAGCATGCAAACCAATGAGCAAAGTTTCCCCACATATCCATGACTAGTGTATTTTCCTAAAGTACCACAATGGAAGGCAGGGAGCATTCAGCCTATTTAAAATTAGACTAATCATGGCAACTGAACATTCATTACTCTGATTTATAGTGTCATTCAGAATGAGCTTTATTCGCAAACACACAGGGAATTTGTTGTGTTTTTAGGAGCTCTTTGTACAAACATATATTTATACATATATAGCATTGAGAACAGAAAGAACATTTAAATAAGACTAAGGAAAATAATAATAATGGGGTATGCATCTGGAACAGAAGATTTCTGTACAGATTTGTCCATTATTTACTGTATATACAGCTGTATAAATAAAAATATGTATATGTATTTACATAATACTTGAGAGAGAGGCAATAATTAGTTATTAATAAATGAATTACAGAAGACAGGTGGTCATTTCGGTTTAAGCTAGGGATGGCATGGGGGGAAAATATTTGTATGCCTAGATGTTCTAGTGCACAGAGATCTGTATGTCTGCCTGAGGGGAGAAGTGCAAACAGGTTGTGGCCGGGGTGAGAGGGGTCTGTGATGCTATTGCCTGCCCGTTTCTTCACTCCTGAAGGTTGGGCAGGTGCACACAAATTATTCTTTCAGCTGTCCTAACAGTCTGTTGCAGTCTTCTTATCTGATTTGCTGGCTGACCCAAACCAGACAGTTATAAAAATGCGCAGAACCGACTCAATAACAGCTGAGTAAAACTGTGTCATCTGCACCTGTGGAAGGTTGAACTTTTTCAGTTGATGAAGGAAATACAACCTCTGCTGGGTCTTTTTTATGATGGAGTCAATGTGAGTGTCCCACTTCAGGTCCTGTGAGATGGTGGTGCCCAAAAATCTGAATGACTCCAGTGCTGTTCATGATGGTGAGAGGAGGAGTGCAGGGGCTTTCTCCTGAAGTCCACTATCATCTCCACAGTTTTGAGCATGTTCAGCTCCAGGTTGTTGTGACTGCACTAGACAGCCAGCTGCTAGCAGACTCGTCTCCGTCCTGGATGAGACCCGATGACTGTGGTGTCATCTGCAAACTTCAGGAGCTTGACAGAGGGGCCTTTAGAAGTGTCATTTGTGTAGAGTTCCACAGTTTTGAGCATGTTCAGCTCCAGGTTGTTGTGACTGCACTAGACAGCCAGCTGCTAGCAGACTCGTCTCCGTCCTGGATGAGACCCGATGACTGTGGTGTCATCTGCAAACTTCAGGAGCTTGACAGAGGGGCCTTTAGAAGTGTCATTTGTGTAGAGTGAGAAGAGCAGTGGGGAGAGCACACACCCCTGAGGAGCTCCAGTGCTGATGGTGTGGGTGTTGAATGTGAGTTTTTCCCAGCCTCTCTAGCTGCTGCCTGTCTGTCAGAAAGCTGATGATCCACTGACAGATGGAAGTGATGGGTACAGAGAGCTGTGTCAGTTTAATCAAGAGGGTATCCGGGATGATGGTGTTAAAAGTGGAGCTGAAGTCCACAAACAGGATCCTTGCATAAGTCCCTGGTTTGTC